CTGGGCCGTCTTGGGAGCCTTTTGGGCCCATGGGGGGGCCATCTTGGAGGCCTCTTGGGCGATCTTGGGGGTCTCTTGCGCAGTCTTGATCCATCGGAATCCTGAGAAGCAGCAAATGCCACACCACAATCTTTGGCCTCGTCGTGCCCTCCTGGAAGACCTGCTGGACGCCTTTTGCGACGTCTTGGAGGCCTTTTGGGGGTCCTCTCGGGCCGTCTGGGGCCATCTTGAGGCCATCTTAGGCCGTCTTGGATGCATCTCGGGCAGTCTTGGAGGCATCTTGGGGCCATCTTAGCCGTTTTGGATGCCATTTTGGCCGTTTTGGGGGCATCTTGGGCCGTCATGGGGCCATCTTGGAGGCCTCGTGGGCGATCTTTGGGGGCCTCTTGGGCCGCCTTGAGCCGTCGGAATACCGAAAAGAAGCAAATGCCCAAATCCTTTTCACCACCTATGGAAAATCAATGCTTTTGGCCACTTCGGGCCCTCCTGGGGGACCTTTTGGAGGCCTCTTGGGCCGACTTGGAGGCCTCTTGGGGGTATCTTGGGCCGTCTTTGGCCATCTGGAGGCCATCTCAGGCCGTCTTGGAGGCATCTTGGGCTGTGTTGGAGGCATCTTGGGCCCCGTCTTGGAGGCCATCGTCCCGTCTTGGGGCCGTCTTGGGGGCCTCTTGGGCCGTCATGGGGCCATCTTGGAGGCCTCGTGGGCGATCTTGGGACGATCGTGGGGGCCTCTTGGGCCGTCTTGAGCCGTCGGAAGGTCGAAAGAAGCAAATGCCAATATCCTTCAAAAACCTTTGCAGAATCAATGATTTTGGCCTCTTCGGGCCCTTCTGGGGGACCTCTTGGAGGCCTCTTGGGCTGTCTCGGAGGCCTCTTGGGGGCCTCTTGGGCCGTTTCGGGCCATCTTGAGGCCATTTGAGGCCGTCTTCGGTGCATCTTGGGCCGTCTTGGAGACATCTTGGAGCCATTTTAGCCGTCATGGAGGCCATCTTGGGCTGTCTTGGAGCCGTCTGGAGCAGGAAAAGCCCTTGGCAACCGGCTCCGGGCAAGCCGGGCTTTTCGAGTGGCCGGCGGGACGGGCCGAAGCCCCAGGGGGAGTTCTTTTGGAAAAAGAACCAAAACCAAAACCGAGAGGATCTAGCACGCCGGGCACCCCGGTTGCAAGCCAACAGGGGGCGGCGGATCGAAGACGCCTACGGCGAATCACCGCCGCCCCCTGCCTTTTTGGAAGCGCCCATGTGGCCGAACGTTGAGGCCAGACCTGCCAAGTTATCGGATCATGTGTTCCCCGAATCGGTTTGGAAAGCTTTCGGGGAGCACGTGGGCATCTTGAATGTCATCTTGGCCGTAGGGAGGCCAATTTGACCCTGTCGGGCCTTCTTGGAGGACGTCTTGGAGGGCTCTGAGGCCGTCTTGGAGGCCATCTTGAGTCTTGAGCGTCTTGGAGGCCTCTTGGGCCGTCTTGGGGGCCTCTTGGGGCCGTCTTGGGCCTCTTGGGCCATTTTTGGAGGCACTTGGGCCGTCTCGGGCCGTCGGAACGCAGAAAAAAAGCAAACGCCACAATCCTTTAAACAAACTCATGGGACATCTATGGTTTTGGCCTTTTCCGGCCTTCCTGGAGGCCCTCTTGGAGGCCTTTTGGGCCGTCTTGGGTCAGCTTCGAGCCAACTTTGGCCGTCTTTGTAGGTTCCTGGCCCGTCTGACGCCGTCGGGAGCCGTCTTGGGGGCCTCTCTGAACCGACTTGGGGTCCTCTTGGAGCGCGTCGGGGCCGTCTTGGAGGCCATCTTTGGCGTCTTGGAGGTCTCTTGGGCCGCCTTGGGGCCCTCTTGGGGCCGTCTTGGAGGCCTCTTGGGCCGTCATGGGGCCCTCTTGGAGGCATCGTGGGCGATCTTTGGGCGACCTTTGGGTGCTCTTGGGCCGTCTCGGGCCGTCGGAACGCAGAAAAGAGGCAAATGTCAAAATCCGTCAAAACCAACAGGAAATTCCATGTTTTGGGCCTTTTTGGGCCTTCCTGGAGGCCCTCTTGGAGGCCTCTTGGGCCAGCTTCGAGCCAACTTCGGCCATCTTGGTGGGTTCCTGGCCCGTCTGACGCCGTCGGAAGCCGTCTTGGGGGCCTCTCTGAACCGACTTGGGGTCCTCTTGGGGCGCTTCGGGGCCGTCTTGGAGGCCATCTTGGGAGTCTTGGAGGTCTCTTGGGCCGTCTTGGGCCCTCTTGGGGCCGTCTTGGAGGCCTCTTGGGCCGTCATGGGGCCCTCTTGGAGGCCTCGTGGGCGATCTTGGGGCGATCTTGGCGGCCTCTTGGGCCGTCTTGAGCAGCCGGTAGGCCGAAAAGAGGCAAATGTCGAAACCCTTCAAAAACCGACGGAAAATCAATGATTTTGGCCTCTCCGGGCCCTCCTGAAGGACCCCGGACCCCTTCGAGACCTCTTGGGCCGTCTTGGGCCGTCTTGAAGGTTTGTTGGGTGAACTTGGAGGTATCTTGGGCCCTCTTGGGCCGTCTTGGAGGCCATCTTGGACCATCTTGGGCGGACTTGGAGGCCATCTAAGACCATCTTATGCGAGCTCGAGGGCCATCTTGGCCGTCTTGCAGACCATCTTGAGCCGTCTTGGAGGATTTTTCCCAACCATTCTGTGGTGTTGGGTCCTCGTTTTGAAGAGACGGTGCCCCGCGTCCCTCCTTCCTTCCTTCCTTCCGTCCTCCTCCTCCCCTCCTCCCTCCTCCCCCTCCTTGCCTCTGCTCTCGGCACACCTCTCACACGTTTCGTAGCCCCATAGGGAGCTCCACCGAAGGCCCCAGTGGGGGTGTCCGCATGCGGTTCCCCCACCCAGGGCAGCGTTTCGTAGCCCCATCGGGAGCTCCACCGTAGGCCCCAGTGGGGGTGTCCGCATGCGGTTCCCCCACCCAGGGCAGCGTTTCGTGGCCCCATAGGGAGCTCCACCGTAGGCCCCAGTGGGGGTGTCCGCATGCGGTTCCCCCACCCAGGGCAGCGTTTCGTGGCCCCATAGGGAGCTCCACCGTAGGCCCCAGTGGGGGTGTCCGCATGCGGTTCCCCCACCCAGGGCAGCGTTTCGTGGCCCCATAGGGAGCTCCACCGTAGGCCCCAGTGGGGGTGTCCGCATGCGGTTCCCCCACCCAGGGCAGCGTTTCGTAGTCCCATCGGGAGCTCCACCGTAGGCCCCAGTGGGGGTGTCCGCATGCGGTTCCCCCACCCAGGGCAGCGTTTCGTGGCCTCATAGGGGCGCACCAATTTTGGCACACACCCCTCACACGTTTCGTGGCCCCATCAGGAACTCCACCAAAGGCCCAAGTGCAAATGTTCGCATGTGCCCACCGCGCCCACTTGAGCACACCGTGGCCACATACAGAACCCCAAATACGGCCCCAACGAATGCGTTCGCATGCGACACCGTTCCAATGCTTGCACACTCACACACTTCGGGGGCCCATAGGGAGCCCCCAAGACGGCCCGAGCGTCTACGTTCGCATGAGCCCACCGCAGCCATGTTGGCATACCGTTTACACGCTTCGTGGCCCCATAGGGAACTCCACCGACGGCCCCGGTGGCTGCGTCTTCAAGCGTTTACCGCGCCCACATCGGCACACCCTTCACACGCTTCGTGGCGCAACAGGGAACTCCACCGACGGTCCCAATGGCTGCGTTCGCATGCGCTCACCGCACCCAGTTTGGCACACCCCTCTCACGTTTCGTGCCCTATCAGGAACACCGAAGGCCCCCAGTGCACGGTTCGCATGCGCCCACCGTGCCCATTTCGGCATATACGTCACACGCTTCGGGGCCCCGATGATCTTGCTTGTGATGCTGATGTTGCTGGTGATATGGTGACGATGATGTGATAGGTCGCTTGTCATGGTGACGATCATGATGGTACATATGATGATGATGAAAGTGAGAGGGAGGCGGACGAACCTGGAGGTGCACAGAGGAGTGAGAGAATATTCAGGCACATGCTCACATGCTTATGAACATTCTCGGAGCGCGTGTCCACAGGTATTTGTTGTGAACGTTCGGAGAGCTCCCGTACATTACATCTGATCGTGATGTTATTGTACGGTGTTCTGCATTTCATAGCTTCTACTCGTTTTCCGTTCATGTCAGAAAACATTGAAGAACCGAGCGTTTCGCCATGCGCCAACCGCGCCCATTCCGTTACACCTCTCACACGCTTCGTGGCCCCATAAGGAGCCCCACCGAGCCCCAGCAGTTGCGTTCGCACGCACCCACCGCACTTATTGTGGCACACCCCTCTCACGTTTCTTGGCCTCATAGGGATGTCTACCGAATGTGGTGCGCACAGCGACGGTAGTCACAACTGCATGTGGTCGGGTCCTTCGCCAGGCAACGCTTGATGTAATTTGCGTCGCCGTCTTTATTGGGAAGGCCTTGGTTGGTGCAACCGACCTTGAAGGGGAACGACGGCGACGACAGCGGCGGTGGCGACGACGACGACGCTAACGCTCTGGAGCCCTTTTGGGGGGCCCGTTGGGCTCTGTTGGGGGGCCTCTTGGAGGACTTGTTGGGAAGTTCCGTGGCCACTTGGAGCCGCCATGGAGCGGATCTGAGGCCTCATTTGAAGGCATGTGGACAAGACGCAACAATCCACAACGGCGCATACGAGTGAGGATGGTACCTCCGTGGGGGGGGGGCGGAGGGGTTGTGGTCATGGTGCTCGTGCCCACGCGGGGGAGGCGGAGGGAGGGGTCGTGGAGGGTCGCGACGCTTGCCCCCCACCCCCCCGGGACCCTCCCCGCGACCCCCCCCCGCCAGGGAAGGGATCGAAGGGACGGGGCTCCCATTCGAATCAATTCGACGTTGTTCGATTTCTGGCTGGCTGGATCGCTTGAGGAAGAGGGCCCGGGGAGAGGGGGAGCTTCGACGGCGACGACGAAGACTCATAATGCCAAAACCCAGAATAACAAGACGCCGATTTTCGTCGGAGTTCGAAGGAACTTGAGGACGCTCCACTTCGTGCCTCGCAGCACGGTGGCGGATCTGTCCAGGGATGGCTGTGGACCGAGCCCGCCGTGGTCGCCCGAGCGAGAGGCGCCGATACGCGCCGAGCCCACCGCCTGTCCTCTTCCTCCTCCGCCTACTCGCACCGAGCGTTCTACTACTCGCAGAGTGCCTACTCGCAAGCATGAAGAAATTAGCATGGCGAAAGACCCAACCATAGTTGATTATGCAGTTGTGAGTATCGTCTTCGGTGGAGCTCCTTATGGAGGCACGAAGCGTGTGAGGGGTGTACCGACATTGGGGCGGCGGGCGCATTCGAGCGCAGCAAGTGGGGCATTCGGTTGAGCTCCCTTTGGGGCCACGAGAGGTGTGAGGGGTGTACCGACGTGGGGTGCGGCGCGCGCATGCGCACGCAGCCACTGGGGCAGTCGGGAGAGCTTTCCTTGGGGCCACGAAACGTGTGAGGGGTGTGCCGACATTGGTGCGGTGCGCGCATGCGAGCGCAGCCACTGGGGCCGTCGGGAAAGCTCCCTTTGGAGCCACGAGACGTTACGAGGCGCGCGCATGCTAGCGCAGCAAGTGGGGTCATCGGGATTTGGGGCCACGAACCGTGTGAGGTGTGTACCGACATTGGTGCGGCTGGCGCATGCTAGCGCAGCAAGTGGGGCATGCGGTTGAGCTCGCAGTGGGGCCACGAAGCGTGTGAGGGGTGTGCCGAAATGGGTGCGGCGCGCGCATGCGAACGCAGCCACTGGGGCCGTCGGGAGAGCTCCCTTTGGGACCACGAGACGTGCGAGGGGTGTACCGACGTGGGGTGCGGCGCGCGCATGCGCACGCAGCCATTGGGACCGTCGGGAGAGCTCCCTTTGGGGCCACGAGACGTGTGAGGGGTGTACCGACGTGGGGTGCGGTGCGCGCATGCGAGCGCAGCCACTGAGGCCGTCGGGAGAGCTCCCTTTGGGGCCACGAAACGCGTGAGGTGTGTACCGACGTGGGGTGCGGCGGGCGCATTCGAACGCAGCCACTGCGGCCTTCGGCGGAGCTTCCAAGGGGGCCACGAACCGTGTCAGGAGTGTGTCGACAGTGGGGGCGGTGGGCGCTCGCGGAGGCAGCCAGTGGGGCCTTCGGTCGAGCTCCTCCTGGGGCCACGAAGCGTGTCAGGGGTGTGCCGACGTTGGTGTGACGGACGCATGCGAACGTGCCCATTGGGGCGTTCGGTAAGCCTCATTTATAGAACCACGAGCCGTGTGGAAGTTGCGCCGAAATGGGCGCGCGCATGCGAGCGCAGCCACCGGGGCCGTCAGGAGAGCCCCCTTGGGTCCACGAAACGTGTGAGGGGTGTGCCGACATGGGCGCGGCGGGCGCAGGCGAACGCAGCCACTGAGGCCGTCGGGAGAGCTCCCTGTGGGGCCACGAAACGTGTGAGGGGTGTGCGGACATTGGCGCTGCGCGCGCATGCGAACGCAGCCACTGGGGCCGTCGGGACAGCTCTCTTTGGGGCCACGAAGCGTGTGAAGGCTGTGCCGATATGGGCGCGGCGGGCGCATGCGAACGCATCAAGTGGGGCAGTCGGGAGAGCTCCTTGTGGGGCCACGAAATGTTTGAGGGGGGTGCCCACATGGGTGCGGCGGGCGGATGCGGACGCAGCCACCAGGGTCTCTGGTGGATTCCCCGTGGGGCCCCGAAACGTGTGAGGTGTATGCAGAAATGGGCGCGGCGGGCGCACACAAACGCAGCGAGTGGGGCCGTCGGTGGAGCTCCCTACGGGGCCGAGGCGCAATCATGCGAACACATCCACTGGGGCCTTCGGTGGAGCTCCCTATGGGGCCACGAGACGGGTGTGGGGTGTTAGGGGGCCACATTTCCGAGGGGGAGGTTGGGGTTCACTTCGCTCGGGAACTCCCGAACGAAGTGAACCCCACCCTCCCGCTCGGAAATCGTGGGGGGTAGGGGTCGGGTTCGCATGTGGCCCCCTAAGTGTGCCGATCATGTGACGGGTGTTGCGGGCAGAGGCAGGGATGGGAGGCGGGAGGAGGGCGAGGAGGAGTGAGGAGTGGCGCGGGGCGTGGTCTCTTCAGAGCGAGGACCCAACACAGGATGGTTGTGAAAACATGCTTGCCTTGACGCAATGGATCCAAGCCATTTTGGGATCAGTTACTTTGCGAGGAGTGCAACGCGCTTGTCTAGTCGTCCTCCGCGTGGCTCTCCCGGACCTGCTGCTCCCTCCCCACGCATTCCTCCTCCTTGTCGTTCCCGTCCTCCCCTTACTCCGAGGGAAAGGGGGGAGGAGGATGAAGGATGAGTGGCGTGCCCATTGAGGAGGTGCGGGAGGAGTGAGATGCAGGAGGAGGAGGAGGAGGAGCGCCAGACAGGGCAGGGGTGGAGGAGGCGAGCAGGCTCCGCGAGGACGACGGCTGACAATGGCAGCATCGGGGGCGGCCAAGAGTGGGGTGATAACTAGGGGGGGGTGGAGGTCATGGCGGGGGCCATGATATCTCCCCGGATTCCATGGCGCCTCTTCTCATTGCATTACGTTCCCAGTCCCCCCCCCACCCCTTGGGCCGCGCACATGCCGCTGGTCATGATTTGCACCCCCCTCTTGGACGCCCCCCTCTTTCAAGGGAGGAAAGACCACACGGACCGGACAATCGGCGTTCATTAAACGGCCTTGGGCGTTTGCGAAACAGCCCTGCCCTGGTTGATTCTTCCTTTGGGTGCGTCTACTACACGGCTCCGCGTGTCGGAGTGGTTATTCTCGGGGTGGATTTTCTGCCCTCTGCTCTTGGACGCCCCCGACAGCAGAGGGGCGACGGCGGCGGCGGCGGCGGCGGCGACCGTGGCGGCGGCGATGCCTCGGAGCGCGGCCAGGCGCCGGCCCCGTCGGCGGCCGCCGGCACGCAGCCCTCCGTGGCCGCGGGCGAGGCCTGGCAGCCGCGAGGCGCCACGGGACTCGAGCAGTGGCGAAGCGTCCTGGCGCAAGTCGGGCCTGTCCCTCCCAGAGGAGGAGTGTCCACAGACAGTCAAGGAATCGTCAGGGGATGAGGTCCTAATTATCTGCTTGTGCATATGCCTGAGCGTTTTTCGGTATCTTCGCCGTCGTCCCAGATCCGCCTGTAGGGGTAAGAGGCCCGACCTAAGTTCTCAGCCCGGCTAGAGACCCACCAAGGAATGTTTGAAGAACCTTTTTGTGGTCTGCGCGAAATGTTCTTGGACCACTTCTGGCTTGGACCGTGTCGTTTTAGCACCTCGGGTCTGTGTTCCAAGAACATGGTTTTTGTTGTTCGAACCTCTTGTGGTTCTAAGAATATTCGGTGGTAGGCACACAGGGATGGATGCCGGGACGGTCGGTCCCCGTTCAAGGGTCGGGCGGCACGCGCCGCCCGTCGCCCTTCGCGCCGCCGCTGCCGCCGCAGTCGCAGCCGCCGCCGCGAGGTCGGGCACGTCCTCCTACAGGCGCACGCTGGCAGAAGACTTGGGCTTCTCACGATGGCCTCGGGAGTCGCGCTGTCACTCGAGACTTCCTTGGGATCTGTGCGCTCACGCTTCGGCAGCCCGCCTGCTGGACCTGGCCGCCTGGGCCCACCTTCCCGTCCCGCCCATCAGGGTCTACCCGCCCGGTCTGCCCGTCTGCTTCTGCCACGTGCTTTCTGGTCCTAGCCCCCCTCCTGCTAATCTCTCTCGTGCTCCATCCTTCTCCCTCCCCCTTCCATCCGTCCTCCCTTTTCCTGGTTTAGGGACTGCGCCAACTACACGCGGCAGGTTTGGAAGATATACCACCAAGAGGGGTGCGATCGAAGACGAATTATGCGGGTACCGAGGGTTTGGGATATTGTGTTGTGAGTGGCATGCGAGCAGGTAAGAGCGGACAGTCTTGAAATGATTGTTGTTGGTGTTGATGGTGTCGTTGTTGCACTTTCACTACTGAACATCAATGTTTGTTGTCCCCCCCTCGGGTGACCATTGTGTTTTTTCGACTGATGTGCTTCCCCCGGGGCTTCCACCCTGTCATTTTCCATCACGGGGGTCAAATTCTCCCCTTGGCCCCCAGGTTACAACAACAATTTCTCGCAATTTACTCCGGCGCCGCGCTCCTGCCATTCAGGAATCGCGCGTTCGCTGGGGACTTCCTCGAATTTACCTGGGAATCGCTCTCTCGCTGGAAACTTCGGGCGAATCACGCGGAACTCGCGATCGATCCGCCCGCTCGGCCCGCCCGGCAGGGTCCTGCCCTTCGTGCCCCATGCTCGCTCGCGCCCTTTGTGCTTGCCCTGCGTGGCCCCGATGCTGCCCTAAGTGGCCCCTGGCTGCCCTTTGTGGCCCATATATATATATATATATATACACGCCCTTCGTGGCCCCCAGTCGCTCGTGCCCTCAGTGGCCGCATCGCTGCCCTTCGTGGCCACGCTGCTGCCCTCAGTGGCCTCCTCGCTGTCCTTTGTGGCCCATATTCCTCTTCCTATGTTTTTATAAGCCCGGGCGGGGGGAAAACCCGTCCCCCCCCCCAAAAAAAAAAACCGGACTCCCCGGACCTGGGACTTTGGGGCCTTCCGGACGAGCCTCGAAGCGGCCTCCGGGCCTCGCAAGGCGTTTTGCCAAGCCTTCCCAGCACATTTAGGGCGATCAGGGGGGTCATCGGAAACGTCCCAAAGACCCCCAAGACAGCACAAGAGCGCTCCAAGAGTGACCGACGTGACCTCAAGATGGCCCGAGAGGCCTCCAGGACGGCCCCAAAGAGGCCTCCAAGAGCACTCCACTCCCAAGGCCCCCCGAGGCAAAAATCATTGATTTTCTATGGGTTTTTGGTGAAGTTTGGGGTTCTCCTCTTTTCGGCTTCCCGACGCTCCAAAACGGCGGTCTTCTGGGCGTCCGAAGCCGCCTGGGAGGTTCCCAAATCGCCCTACAACCATCCGAAAGGGCTTCCAGACAGTCCAAGAGAGCCGCAAAACGGCACAACACGGGTCCAAGATGGCCCTCAGAGAGCCCCATGGCGGCCCAAGATGGCCCAAAGACGCCCTCCGAAGAATTCCAAATCGTGATTCGGTCGTTCAGGGAGACGGCGGTTGGAGGCAGGGTGGCCCGAGGAAGCCCCCGGAGGCCCCCAGAATACGCCCAGGAGGCCTCCAGAAGGCCTTAAGAAAGCCCGAAACTACTTTTGTGAGGCCCCTAGAGGCTCTCCAAGGAGGATCCTCCGCAAAAAAGAGCTGAGGAGGATGGGGAGAATGCGCAGGGTATGGCGAACATAGGGAACAATAAGCATGGAGGATAACGAATAACATCATTATAGCGGCGATGCCGGAAAAGGCAACCAGGAGTTATCGCTAAATTGTCGGCTTGACCTTCCTGCCATTCCGCCTGCATACCAAATTTCAAGGACCAAGGTGCATGGCGCGAAGCGCCACTACAGTCTTGTGTATATATGTATATATATATATATATATATATATATATATACATACGCCCTTGGTGGCCTCAGTGGCCCCATTGCTGCTCTTCGTGGCCCCAGTGTAGCCCCGTGTGCTTCATTCTAGTAGTCGTCGTTCGTTCTCAAGGGATCGTGCATGGCACACCTCATGGCGCAACCCATGCGAAATCCATTGCTAATTTACGTTGCAATATCGTGTTCAAGCCATGGCGCAAACTGACTCGCAACTTGTGACGCTCGCCCGATCCGACAGTCGGGGTCCGCCCGCCACGCGCCCGCCTAGTTCAACCGCTTGTTTTTCTGCTCTTAGCCGGCCTCCTGTCAATCCCATTCGTGCTTCATCCTTGTTCTCCAAGTATCTCTCACCCTCTCTTTCTCTCTCTCTCTCTCTTCGTTCCTGTCTCCCCTCTTTCCCTGTTTTAGGGTCTGCGCCGCACCAACAAAAACGTGCCAAGTAATGAAGACGTACCCGCACGCTCTCGCTTGAGACTTCCCCACAACTCATTCAGGACTCACGCTTTGATCCGCCCGCCGGACCCGCGGGGCCGAACTATACCTGGCACTCTCGGCCTCCATCGTCGCCTCGGGCAGGGCGTGGGGCGCAGGAGGGCGGCGACGACCTCCTCCTCCTCCTGCTCCTCCTCCTCCTCCACTCTTTCACCTCCTCCTCCTCCTCTTCCTCTTCCTCCTGCCTGTCCCAGAGCGGACCAGGCCCAGCCGCATCTCCGATAACGCTCGTTGCCCCCGTCTTCTCCGCCACTGCCGTCTCTACAGGCCGCCCAGGGCCCCTCGCCCGCGATTGCGGGCTATGTCCCTCGCTGGCCGCGCCGTAGAGCGGTCTCGCTGCACGGCGTATCGCGGTCTGGTTGCGTGGGGTCCATGCCTCGGGTTGCATTCGCCTCTGAGTCTCGTATGCGGGCATGGAATATGTTCCAGTCGCAGCAGCCATGTCGCTCGAGTGTTCCGACTCGTCGAAGTCGGGGTGCGTAGGCCGATTTGGGCAGTGGCCCCAGATCCTATGGGAGTCGTTTGCTCGTTGGGCGGCAGTTGCTCAGTCCAGTGCTCGCGCGTTCCACGCAAATAGGTCGTGCTGCACTGCCGGGGTCCACGTGCCTGCCGTCATCGCCTCGAGCAGCACGTGGGCGCCGCTGGCATCGGGCAGACTCGAGGAGCGCCCGAGCCTCGCCAGTGCTCTTGCCATTGTCCTCCCTCGAGGTTTTGGCCCACGCTTGAGCACCAGTATCTGGGATGATTGCATCGATAAACGTGGACGGCTCCTTCTCCGCCGCCTCCGAGGACGAGGGGTTGTCGCGAACGCACAGGGGATGTTGAAGGAGGCAGGTGAAACAAAGGTGCACACCAAGCGCGAAACGCGGGCGATGTGTGCCACGTCGACGGCGGAATGCGACGGCAATGGAGGGGGTGCGTCAGGTTCGCCGGGGCCGCCTCAGGGAGGCAATTGCGGAACGACTCGCAAAAGTGGCGCGGGAATGTCCAGGAGCATTCCAGGTGCGGCGCGCGCGTTGCGAGCCTTTCTTGAGGCCAGATGAGGGGGCTGCGCTGAAAAGAGCACACGACGAACGCGGCTTTGGCGAGGTTGTGCAGTAAATGTGCGGCGAAGGGCAGGGGCGGGCGCAACGAGTGGAGTGAGGCGCAAAAGACTGGGGGGGCAACGAACGCCACGCGCGCATCTCGGAAGGCGAAGCGGCCGGCGATGTTGTTAAGGTGTTTCGGGAGCGGTCGACGCATCTGAGCGGAGAGCCCCGCGGACGCGACGCGTCTGTCGGAGACACCCGTGGGGAATGGCCACAGGGCGTACGAAGCCCATCGCCCAGTAATGTCGTGCCCGCACCGCGAGGAGAGTTCGGATGCCTGGGCATTCAGGCGCGCTGCGTGCCTGAACCAAACGAGTGGAAGGCGTCCCGCGTTTCCGGACGCCACGCATCTGAGCAACGTTTTGGTGAAATTTAGTATGGAAAAGGGACTGGGTCATAGTTTAGTTGCGCGTTGACTCTGTCAATCGAACCTCATATTCGCATCCCAGGTTGCGCAGCGGCTGTGGACGTCACTGGACGTAGTTTAGTCATTCCGCGTGCCCGAA